GAAAGAAGCTGTCAAAGCTGGAGGGAAACCATCTGGCCAATGATAAAAGCAATTCATCTCCACCCATAGCCTTGGAAATATGTCCTGAACTATACTGAACAGTGAGTTTGTTCCCAATGCATATGGCTCAATGAGCAGCACTCTCATTTCTAAGTCAGAACGTTGTGCGTTCAGGTCCCCCTTCTGAGAGTTTACCACACAATTTTGGGTCTTTCCAATGAGGCTTTAAACAAAAGGCCGGCCTGACCTCTCAGGTCGACGTAAAAAGATTTTTAGGGCACTATACCGAGAATAACAGGAGAGTTACTCTGTCAAATATTAATCCCCCAATCAACATCAGAACGGATTGTCTGGTGGCTATGAAATTGTTACTTTCGGAGCTTGCTGTGCATCAATTGGTTGCTGCGTTGCCTTCGAGACGATTTCATTGGCTGCAACGCGCTGTCTGAAGCTTTGACTTCGTAAAAGGCGTTATCTAAATACACAGTTTTCTTTTTCCAAACAGATAAGAAGACAAAAATAAGCAAATAACCGATCTTTCCATTAACCTTCAGACGAATCTTTATGCGATTTTTTTGGTTTCACAAGCAGCACAATTTCAATCATGTATCGTTATCTTTTCGACTGCAAATCAGATGGACGAAGCTACCAGGATACTGTTCCAGTTTTATAAATATAACAGAAATTGCGTTACTTTTTTTATCCATTTAATCAGAACACGTTGAATATTTAAGATATTGAGAAACGCTGAATGGAAACTTCTGGACGTCTTGTTGACAACAAGGCGACAGTTCTAAAGAGAAGACCTGCTCAGAATTCCGAAATGTCCTGATTTATTTAATGTACTTTATCTAAAAGCACGACTGCAATGAATTAATGTTGACTTTGTATATCGCCTCAATCCCAGAGTTGTACTGTGCATTCTCTTCTGTCATTGTTCTGAGGTTAATGTCGTTTTCAAATTTGGGAAAAGCAATGATTCATTGATGATGTCAGTAAAAACCCCGATTTTAGGCGGAAAATGGCCCGGGACACATATTGGCAGACTAGAAGCCTCTACATCTTGTCATTACGTCTTTCGGGTTGTAATTCTCATTGTAACGACCGCTGCATGAAAACGCTTCGCCACTCATTGTAAAAATACTGATACTTTTTTTTTACACAAACAGGTCAATGTTTCAGTCCTGGAGCAGTATTTGATTCACCAGCCTGTTTCAAGGAGCAGCTTCATTACACTGAATGGGATAACTAAGCACGTACATTTCAACAAAGTCAAAATGACAGCTCCTGTTCCACCAAAGCCGGTTTTTCGCTTTTTTTGTTTGTTTTCTGTCTGTTAGCACTCTGTCTACTGTTTCCTCCTTACATTTGCAGTCCTCCTAATCGTCTCTTATCCAAACTCTTTATCAGCGATCGAGGAGGCTGAAGTGGTTGCCAGACCAAAGTTTCGAACTTCCAGCGTGTCGCCTGTTGTGGATCCCAACCCCGCTACCCCCACGCCCCAACCACACAAACACTTCAGATAAACTCTCAAAACCGTCCACCCGCGTTCAGTGGTTTAATTGGCCGTTGCTCAGAGCTTACTGGGGAACCAGCCGCTAAGATCTTCTGTGGTGGACTAAATTTGAAGCGGACAGACCTCTGTTGTGTGAACCAATTCAATTTAAATTGTTAACCTTCAACATTCCGCATCTTAATTTTTATATTTACCTTTTTTTCAATTTTCAACAAACATCTGTTGCAGAAGATCCGTTTTCCCAATTAGGCCTGAGTCAGACAAACAAATAATTCTTTAAAATAAACCTCCAGTGTCAGTGTTCAAATTGCAGTGCTGAACGTTCCGGTTCAAACATCAAGCAAAGTATTACGCAACACGAAACGAACTTTTACACGTTGCCTCAATTACACGAATAAACTTTATAAAAGTCGAATTGACAGACTGTATGTAAGATTTTATGCGCCATGTCTGTTTTTTGCTAATGCACTGTGGTTTGTTAATGGGCGTTTGTTTAGTTATCCCTAAATGTATGTAAATATTCTACGTTCGAAATAAGACAGCAAAGAGAAACCTTATAGTACAGGCGAAGAAGATACATTAACAAGTAATACGCAGGTGATTCAAAATACGAATTCAAAAGGAGTCGGAGCCAATAATAAGCATCTTGCTACTTAGGGTAATGTCAGGGCGCGCTGTTGCGTACATATTCAATCCCACACAGAAGCCGACATATTCACACTCAGGGACACACACTGACACCACCATACGCAGATACGCTTACATTCCCGCTCAGGGACACAGACACACAAGTATCCACATTCAGCGACACAGGCCACGTATTCACACACACACTTTCGTAAATGTGATGTCTAGTTCTCTCGGAAAGACCTCTATAAATGTGACGTGTCCTGTAATTTCTCGCATCAGTTTCTCTGTTATTTCATGAGAACATACTGGGTCACCGAAAGTGGACAAATAAAATACTCAAATGCGTTTAATATTACATTCTGCATATTTTTGTTCAAATTAAACTTGCCATATAATGAAAAATATTGAATGTACAAGCAATTTTGAGGAAATGCTGGTATGAACAATATTGCTCATTAGGCCATATTGGGAGTATCAGGAGAACGGCTTACTATCGGTGCACGGAGCGCAGCACCTCAGGCCAATGGCTGTTTGTATAACACGTCGGTCTCAGTGATCCAATACCGCCTCGCATCCCCCTCCCCCACTCCAAATACTGATGTCAGATTGCACCAGCACATCCCATAGCTAGATATTTTAGTCAAACTGTAGGGGAGATGAACGGCTCACCACTGAATAACTAAACTGAACGTTAATTATAATTGCTTTTTGCTTATTCAGATGATCAAATATACCTCTAACTATAACCCTTCCAAGACCTCGTCTTCTGAGGACACTTTATATGTAGTAGTTGGTTTTCAACATGTTTGCCGGCTCAACAACTTCGACTCCATTCTCAGTGAAGGATATTTTAAATCTTCAGCATCATCCTGACATGGCGTCTCTTGGAGAGTCGGCGGAGTTCGATTCGCCTCCCTCCCCTGCTTCCTGTATGCTGGCACGGACCAAACAGCAGCACTTCAGTGAAACGCAATCTCTAGCGACATACAATGAGCTGCTGCCTAAACTGAATTCCTGCAAAAATCATCCCAATTATTCCAGCAGTTCATTCGGAAATAATTATTTGGAAATCGACAGCAGAGAAGCAAAAACAAGCAATGGAGCGACGGGAAAAAATAAGGGTAAAAGTAAATTTTACAAATTTTTGAACTCCTTTCACTTCATATACGATTTATTAGTAAGTGCCTACAATTATTGGTTTTGTAATGTCTGCCGATAACCCGATCTCTGGTAATCTCGACGAGTTCTTATGGTCCAAACTAATAAAACATCTGCATAAAATGGGTGAATGACTGGAATTTTTTAAAAATCCAATTTAAATCAGGGAAATGAGCTAAGATGAGTTTACAATAGACAGCAGAGATAGAAAAAAGCTGTATAATTATTTTACATAAAACGCAGCACGTTTATTTCACGAGCACTCCCAGGAAACCTTCACATTCAATTAAATATCTATGAACTTTCTTTGAAAATATATTAATTGGAGATTCATTCGCCGTTCAGATAACTCAATGATGTATTGTTATGGACTAAATAAATCGAAAATACAGAACCAAATGATGGGCAATGTAAACAATGTAAACATTTTGAATTCCACGTTTTGAATTATTATTCAGGTGCTTGTTCCTACTTTGGCTCTAGTTTCTATATTATTTGCAGATTTAAAGTATGGTGGAATAGACATTCGAGGGCAAAATGGTTTATTTTAAAACTCTTGAGTTGTTCTTCCCCTAATTTCTGGTTCAGGATCAATTTCTTGCCAATTTAACGGATCATCTCACATCTCTTTTTTTCCCTGGATTTCATTCAATTAATATTTGTTCCCAAAGTAACACTAACCTCTCTAGATTTGGATTTGCTACGCTATTTTGCTTTAAACTTTCAATGCCTGATTCTGTATCTCACGGTTTTCTGTGAATAACGTTTGAGGGGTTCCCGAGTCCATTATGTTAACATTCAACTTCTCAAACTGACACAGAATAGATCCGCCTCTTCTTCAAAAGTACATTGTAGTTATGTTTGTTCATATATCTTTCCAATACATTTTCCATTGGGAGGGAGAGAGATTTTAAAAGAGTTCGTTTTTATATATTTCCCAAAGCGGCCCAATTACTTATTTTAAAAGCTCCTCAAAACACTACATTTGAAAACGACAAATTACAATCCTCTCCTTCACTGTGATTCATTTCACATCACCCTCTAACTCTATTCACCTATTGTTGTGGTACGATATTTATATTTAAACAGTGACCTTGATATGTAGAGAATATTTTACACAGAATTTCAGTAACTCTTATGGGAGAAATCGCTCAATTTAAAGTGTTCCATATCCTGTCATTTTTCAACGCGCTGGGGTTGACCTTGTCAAGTGCCTTCCTCTGATCTTGTGTTAACGATTTAACCCGCATTGTCTCAAGTTAAAGTTGAAATCCTGCATCTCCAACTGTTGGACTGTCCGGCCTTCCATTGAGATGTACGTCGATTGTACCGTCAGGCTAATTGTTCTATAAACCTGGTACAGATATCAATATATCGATCAGGCTTTGTACTGTTGCTTTCGACTTTGAGAAATCTGATTCAACGTTAGAAACGGGTTTAGCAGAAAGGTGCAGGGAATAAAGGTCTGCTTCGCACTAACGGTCTGGTTTTGCAATTTAGAATGCCGACTGATTGGAGTGAACACGGAGAAGGAAGGAGAGAAAACTGATGAAGCCGAGCGGCCCCGTCGAAGGAGAAGGAAGCCAAGAGTGCTTTTCTCCCAGGCTCAGGTCTACGAACTCGAGAGGCGGTTTAAACAGCAGAAGTACCTTTCCGCACCCGAGAGGGATCATTTAGCAAACATACTGAAGCTCACCTCCACCCAGGTCAAAATCTGGTTCCAAAATCGCAGATACAAATGTAAAAGGCAACGCCAGGATAAATCGCTGGAGATGGTTGGCCTCCCGCCTCCCAGAAGAATCGCAGTACCAGTTCTCGTTCGAGACGGGAAGCCGTGTCTGGGAGAGTCTTCATCTTATCACTCACCGTATAACATGCACCTCAGCCCTTACGCTTACGGCACTTATGCAAACTATACCAACTACAGTGGTGCAGCCTCCACTGCCAACTATGACTGTAACTATCCCAGTGTTCAAGCCATGCCCCCCTCGACGGCGGCTGGCAGCTTTATGAACATGAACTTCACCGTCAATGAGCTGAACACTGCGGTACAGACTCAAATCCACCAGAACACTGGGGTTTCCACATTGCATGGGATCAGAGCCTGGTAATGTTAGCGGTGACACTGATTAAGCATAGGGCAATATTCTCACTGAATGGTTGCTGACACAGGTCATCTATTATTGAAAGGCGAGAAAGTGCAGTTTCTACCCCCGTTATATGGGTCACAATTTTCTTTTTTGATGGACAACTCAGTGATACAGTCAAAGACTGTTAATTTAGCATTCATGTTAATAAAAAGAAAGTATTATTGCATCTTCGAACCAAGGAATGAATAAGGAAGATGTGAAATTATAATTCCACATACTTTCGGGGCTTTTACTTTAGTGTTCCAGACCACTGAATGAAGACCTTACCTTTATTTAATCCCCAAATGTTCTTTGACATTGTAGTCTTCACTGCCCCCGTCTGAACCAAATAATGCAACTGACAACAACATCGCGAATGATGTAAAAGGACTAATGTCGGTCGTTAAAAGACTCGGGCAAATACATCTGTCATTTTAATGTCTTTTTTTTCATACAACTTTCGGATTTCGTGTTTTAAAGTTGCTTTGTATTTGAGCCTGTCTTCCGAAGTGCAGTGTTAATATGATAAAGGGTGGGTGGCTCATTTAGGTTTAAAGGACACACGTGTATCGGCAGTTTTCGTGACACCACATTGGACAGAAAGACAGAATGTTAGTAGCTCAAGTTCAGAATTCGGTAGTTACGGATCAAGTAGAATAACCGCACCTTGAAGTCATGCACTAACACTGCCCACTTACTCTATTCTCTTTATTTTATGACATTATGCGAATTATGACGACGTTACTTAGAATCTTTAAACATGAACAAATTGCAAGCAGTTGAGAGTGCAAATCACTTCAGTAAACGTGTACAGTAAAATGTGTGCAATTTCATTTTTATCATTTATTTCATTTTGCGCGTGGGTTATAAGAATATGTAATAAAAAAGACGTATACAGTCAACGTATCTGAGTGATATTGGAATAAAATCAACGTGTTTCCATTTTATCTCTCCTATTTCATTAAAACTCGGTAGATTAAGTATTAAAACGCAACGCTGCTTTCAAATCCACAGGCAAGTTCGTTTAAACGTTTAGTTCGTTTTTAACCGTCTGGTTATAAAACAGACACACTTTAAACCATACAAGTGCTACACTTTATTTGAAATATCATTCAGGATATAAAACCATGGACCCAGTATGAGGTCGTTTTTCATGAACTCTGCCCTAACAATCTTATGTCTGCCGGTTCTAACCAGATAGGAAAAGCAATGGCCCATTTCTGATGAAGGGTCTAGGCCCGAAACGTCAGCTTTTCTGCTCCTATGATGCTGCTTGGCCTGCCGTGTTCATCCAGCTCTGCACCTTGTTGTCTTGGATTCTGCAGTTCCTACAATCTCAGGTTATTTTTTGTATTTGGTTAGCTGGCTTGTTGGCGTACGGATAAATTCGTTCTGCTTTTGTTAGTACAAGTTAAATATTTCAAACCCAATTATACCCTATTAGAAATGTGCCATTACAAGTAAGTGAGCACCGAAAACAAAACTGGGCACCTCTGCATGCATTGACCACCGTGACGTGACACGTTTTCACCGGAAATGTTAAATCGACATTCAGCAACACAGAACGTGTGTTGTCAAATGTCGACTGTGCTGAGCGTACAGAATGAAGATTGAATGCTTTTGTTTTGCTTTTGAAATGAATTGGATTGAATTATGATGATTGAATGCCCACTGAAAACGAAGTTAGAAATAAAACCTTTGCATTAGGATAGGCTGTTCCCATAGGCCAGATGTAAATTTATTTTGATACAACACTAGAACATATGCATATTTGAGAGAGATGTCATAGCACGTGGGAATGAGACCAACAGATGAGAATGTAAATGTTAAATGTACCACAAAAGCCAGAGGAGTATTGGAGAATTAAGTGTCTTAAGCGTCTGCAAAAGGCAGAGGCTACATGTAAATTATAGCTACCCGTCTCAGGCAAATGGCTGCAGGTCGGATTTCAACGGCCCCATTTTGCAAGCTAACTGCGTCAAGAATTCTGTCGTTCAAATAATAGTGTTTTGGATTGAGCTGATCATGTAGAGTTCAGTCGTTCTAAGAACGAAAACAGCCCATTAAGTCCAATTGGACGATGTCAGCGTTTATACTCCACCAATGCTTCCTCCATCCTTGCCTCTTCTGACTCCGTCAGTATAACAATCCATTTCCTTCTCCTTCATGCATTCATCCAGCTGTCCCCATAGGTGCATTTACACTATTCCCCTACACCAGTCTATTTGTTCCACACTCTAACTTTCTAAACATAGAAATTTCCATTGAATTTTTTTTGGATTTATTCATAGTTATCACAACCATGATCCCTAATGATGGATTCTCCCAGTATTTAAAAAGTGAATGCTTAACTGGCTGGAATAACCATAGTGACAGTGTTTTATGTATCAACTGATAGGTTTAAAATGGCATTATGATATCTGAAAGATGCCTTTGGCATTTGTTGCATATCAAACCAAAGCTTTGTGAGACTTATGTCTGCAATAACTCTAACATGAAATCCTCAGCTGGATTTGCAATGCAATTTAATATCAGGGTACAGCAGTAAGCAAAATTATGATGTAAATACACCCAGTGTTAGTGTCTCTCACAGAATGAAGCAAACCTGACTCCAGTTTTATATTGTCAGCTTATCAGAAAATACCTTGTGGATATGAAATAAAATCAATAACTGTTGCAAGCACTCAGCAGGTCTTGAGGCATCTCTGAAGAGAGATTGATGGTCTTTCACCAGAATGTAGAAAACATATAAAATGGAAATTATTTTAAGCAAGTGAAAGGGGTGGGGTGGGAAAAGGGAAGAAGCAACCAAAGGAATTAAATGGCAGAAGTGTTAGTGGTGCAGCGCCAACAGAGTGGTCAATAGATGAGTAAAAAAACAATGCAATTCTAGAGAAGATGTGAATGACTGCATGTGAAGACCTGCCATCCAAATACAACAAATAGAAAAGTGAGAGTAAAACCAAAACCCTCCACAGTTTTGTCACCTTAAGCCCAGCTCAATGGATTTCCATCTCCTCTTCCATTGGTTTTTCCTCTATGCGCAGTTTTTTAGTCAGGAGTTCTCCCGCACTCAGCCAATGCCTTTACCCATTTCCAGTATTCTCCCGCCATGTGTGCCAGTCCCTGGGTCAGTCTCTCTCTATCTTGATCTATTCAGTGTGAACTGCTCACATGACATCAGCCATCTAAATTGTCAGTATTTTCCTCCTTGTGTAACTACACACAAAGTTGGCTGAAAGACAAGAAATTAAAGGACAGAGAATAGATGTCTTTAGGATTGGAGGAAGGTATACATTGAGGTTTCCTGAGGCTTGGTACTAAGACCATTCTTTTGCTTGATTGATATCCATGATCTAAACTTGAGTGTAGAGTGCACAATTGCAAAATTTACAAATGATACAAAACTTGGAAGTATTGTGAATTGTGAGAAGGATAGTGATAGATAATGAGGTAATTGATAAGCTGGTGGAATGGGCTGACATGTAGCCAATAAAATTTAAAGCAGAGAACTCTGAAGTGATTCATTTTGGTAGGAAGAACAAGAAGATCCAAGACAAAATAAAGGGTACAATTCAAATGTGGTGCACAAATAGATAGAACAGAGGGAGGTGGGACCATATGTAACATTAATTATTAATTGATGTTGGTAGGGCATGTTGTGTAAGTGGTTAAAAGATCTACAGGAACCTGAGTTTTATAAACAAGGGTCAACAGTGCAAATACAAGGAAGGTATGGCACACTAATGCACTTGAATTTGAGTATTGTGCCCGAAGTTCTGGTACCACACTTTTGGAAGAATATGAAGACATTACGGAGAGTGCAGAAAACACTTATGAGAATGGCTCCTAGGGTGCACGGCCTCAGTTACATGGATAAGTAAGAGAAGCTGGGTCTGTTCACTTCAGAGAAGAGAAGGTTGTGAGGACATTTAGTATAAATATTCAAACTCAGAATCCAACAGGAAAATGGTTCCTATTGGTAGAAAGATCAAGAAACATATGGCACTGATTTAAAGACAAATGAAACTTCAAAGAACAACACTTTTCTGCAGCAGTGGTCACAATCTAGAATTCAGTAACTGAGAATGTAGTGGAAGCAATACAATCAAGGTTTACAAAGAAGAGCTATAGGGAAAGGGAGGGAGGGGTGGAATCCAATGAGTTGCTCTTGCAGGGAGCTGGCACAGACATGGCAGGCTGAATCACTTCCTTCTGTGCTATAATCATTCTATAATTCATCAATGCAAAGCTATAATTGTTTCATACTGTATTAAACAAGAAACTTGGTCCAAAAAAGCTTGAAAACTACTGCAGACAAAAAATTCTGAAGAAGAAGTAAAATTAGTCATTAGAGAAGGGCAGGCCCTCACACCTTTCCACACTTCATGATCTTGGACGTTTCCCCTTTAGGGAACCTAGGAGCCATTCTCATAAGTGTTTTCTGCACTCTCCATAATGTCTTCATATTCTTCCAAAAGTGTGGTACCAGAACTTCGGGCACAATACTCAAATTCAAGTGCATTAGTGTGCCATACCTTCCTTGTATTTGCACTGTTGTTAGCTGATAGGAGACTTCTATTTTCAAGTTTTCTTCCTCTTGATCTGTATCCCAGGAATATTCGATCGCTCACCTCCTTCAACAAGTTCTCATGCCTCAGATTATGGTCAATCCAACCTTGCTGGATTTTCTTGGTGATATTGTCTAACTAATGAGCCAAAAACAATTCATTCATGAGTTATGTTCCTACAGCTTAAAAACCCCAAAGCTAGGCAATTGTATTAAAAAATCCTGATTGCTTTGTTATATTCCATCACAACAGCTGATGGAATTTAAATTCACTTATTAAATCTGGAATATGAAAATGCTGGTCTC